TAAACTGCATGAATTTGCATTCTCCTTCGGATATTTACGATAAGCTTTACGTTAGGCTCAGGTCAACATTTAAAAAAAAGGCGCTACCATATTCATCAAATGCTGATCAACAGGCCTCCTTAATCGAAAGATTCTTTGAAAATATTCCGCGAGGAAAGCCCCTCATAATTGTCTTGGATGAGGTTGATCAATTGTGTTCAAAAAATCAAGAGATCTTGTACAAGTAATTTTTGTGTCTTCGGTTTCGTATTTACTTATTTGTCAAAAGAACTTTTTGGGATAAATATTAAACACAAAATATTTGCCGTGTCCTCTTTTTCATTTTTAGAATTTTTGACTGGCCTGGTCGCGTTTCGGGCGCCCGTCTAATCTTGATCGGAATCGCAAATGCACTTGATTTGACGGAAAGGCTTTTACCACGCTTGGTTGCTAGTCATCATCGCCCATTTCATATTTCTTTTCAACCTTATTCACGCGAGCAAATTATTGACATTATATCGGCACGGCTGAGGGCTTCTAATGATATTGCCGAAAAAACAATTAAAACCTGCGGGTTGCCGTCGGCTGTAAAATTTGATCCCTTAGCTATTAGGCTATGTGCATCTAAAGTATGTCTATTACACGGATAGATCTATGAATTGTAATTAAAAGACTCATGATTTTATTTGTCGCCCATTTTAAAAGTGCATTTCTCAATCAATTTTTCCATACCCCTGAAGCTACTTTATATTTTTTATTCGGATATTTACATTTTATTGCTTCTAGGTTGCTGCCTCATCTGGGGATGTGCGTAAAGCTCTAGAACTCTGTGTACGTGCGTCTGAATTAGCTAAATCTGAAGCCTCTAGCTTAGACACTATTGTTTCCTTAAAGGAAAATATTCCCAATCCGAATTCTGATCTTCCGCCAAAACATATAATCACAACATTGAGACACATAAGTCAAGCTATTCGCGAATCACAGGTTAGTTTTGATGGTAGCTTGTCTTTTAATACATATTGCTGTCTCGTGATTTGGCATAACTATTATTAATATTTAGCTTCTTAGTAGTGGCAATTGCTTTCTTGATTGACATATATTCT